AATCTTGAGAGGAGGAGCTTCGGGAGGTGACTGAGGCACTTGGTTCCTCCATTCATGGGAGAGTGGAGCAGAGGGCTCCCTGAGAGGGGCTCTGTTGTAGAGGCGAGCCCTGTGGTGTTCCTGCTGTGGCCTTACCATAAATCACCCTGCTTTGGTGTTCCAGGACAGCCACAGGTAACAGACTAACACAGGTGCGAAATGCTAGTATTACTGGTACACTGCTGTTATTGTCCAGTGGTCTTTAGTGGGGTTAGGAGGCCAGTAACAGGCCATGGCCTATACCCGGTTCCCTCAGGGCTCTGGGGTAGGTGGTGACAAGTTAGGGGAAAGCACCTGGGGACAAATGTCTCATTGCACAGATACAGTCTCTCTGGTGGTTCTTCTGCTTCGCCCCCGGAAGAAGGGATGAAAAGTCGGCCCTGGCTCCTCAGGGACTCCGGGACACTCTCTCTTCTCTTCCCTGGTGACTGGGTTTCCCTGGGAGATGAGGTTTTAGGGATGGAGACCAAGGGCATAGCACTTTTGGAAGAATTTCCTTCAGACCAGGAACTCCAGAGAGCCCTACCCTGTGGTTGGGGGGAGTAACCAGGGCCTGTTAGAGACCCTGCTCCTCACGCAGCCCCGTGTCCCTTAGTTCAAAGCACCCAGCCTGTTGAGGTGTCTCACATGACAGCCTGCTTCCTGAGCCCCAGGTCACTACTATTTGGAAGGGACGGGCCTTCTTGTTCCTCAGTAGTCCTCCATCTAAATGACTTCTCGGGGTCCCGGGTTTCAGCCTTGCTTGCATTAGGGGGATTGGGGAGGGGGCCTGCTGCGGGCCCTCCTTCCTCCTTCCTCCTTCCTCCTTTCTCTTTCCTCTTCATTGTTCAGCTCTTCTCCCACAAGCCCTTCCTTTCATGTCTGTCTGTTCTTTCCATTCTCACCTCTGAGCTCCAGGGACTGCCTTTCTCTGATGTGCAGAACCCCAGCACTGGTGGGAGGTGTTTTGCTGATCCCACAGCCTCTCATTGTGTGTTTTCATATTCAGATTTCTCCCTCCTGTTATGCTAATGTGCAAGCTTGGGAGGGGGGGGGGTGGTAGTAAGTGCCTGGGTGATTTGGACCCTGTTTAGAAGGAAGGTTTTCTTTCTCTACTTTTGAAGAAATAGAGCTCATCCCTGAGGATGAATTGTCAAGAAACATTGTTAGCTTAATATTTTGGTCTTTGAAAATCATTTCACATTCCCCAAGCCCACTCGATAGAATCAGATACATTTTTATAATTTAGTTTTTTCAAAATGATGTAAGAGTAATGAATTTTTCTTTTAATAATCTTTTTTTAGGGGGGGCAGGGGGCGATAATTAGCGTTTCTTCTATCTTTGGTTTTCAAACATCTTAACAGGAATATGGCATTTCTTTTATATTATGGGAAATCATTTATTTTTTAATGTTTTCCTGTTATATTATGTGCACTGGTTATGCATCCTTTTCTAAAGGAATGTAACAAGTTTAGCCCTGTAAAATCCTATAAGCCCAACCATCAAATGGACAAATTTCTCTTTAGAATGATTTCAAACAAAAGTGCATTTACTACAAGAGTAAATACATAGAGAATCATTAACTACTCCCCGTGGGCTTTTTTTTCCCAAATGTACAAGTTGTACAAGTGATTAATAGAAGTCTAAAAAAATTGCGTGTCACTGGGCTACTTTATAAAATATAACATGCAATAATTTTAAATAAACATTTTATGTAACATATAACATAAAATATATATTTGTCAAAATTAAAGTCACATCAATTTAGGATCTTAAGCATTTGTTTTACATACAGAAGAACAGTTGTGAACTGGGAAACCGCAAACCAAAAAGTGGCCTGCAGTCTCCATTTCATGTCAGTCACAGAACAGTTTATTGGGCATAAAGGAGGGCAACTTGGACCTTTTTTCAGGATGATCAGTCATGATTTAAAAAAAAAAAAAAAAAAAAAACTGGTAAGTTGATTTGTTTATAGTTGAGTGGTTTAATTTCATTGCATCATGAGGATGAGGACAAAAAACTCAGACTGGTCTTTTGGTGTTTATGGTTAGGTTTTGGGGGGGTGGGATCAGAATTTCCTATGAACAGTTGACCTGGAGCTGCTGAACTCTGGCCTCTGTTTGCATTTCTGCCAGTTCACATGTCTTACCTCTTGCTGTTTGCCTAGAAAATGTTTTGTTTATGATTCAAAATTGAGCTCTCCCATGGGTGAAACCTTGGCTGCCCATCTAACAGAATTCCTGCTTTCCCTTCCCCATTGTACCTTGGTAAATGAAGTTCTTTTCCATTCTAGGACTTACTGAAAGTCTGTTAGGAAAAAGGACCTTCCCTGGACAGGCTTCAGTTCTGAATCCACTGAGTCTCCTCCTGTTAATTATAGACATTGAATTTGAACAGTCTCTAAATGCTTTTTTTTTTTTTTTTTTTTTTGGATCTGTAAGATGAGATGTGTCATTCCATCCATAAAACAATTAATTGGGGTTCTCCAGAGATGCATATAATACATGTGCGTATATACACACACGGCACATGTACACAGGTGGGTGGGTGGGTAGGTAGACGGACGGGTGGGAAAGTTTATTATGGGAATTAGCTTGTCACAGTGAGAGACTGCCATTTGCTTACTGGGGGACTAGGAAAGCCAGTGGTGTAGCTGACCCTGAGTCAGATGACTTAACAACCAAGGGATTCACTGGTGTAAGTCCAAATAACCGAAAGCCGAGGTACCAGGAGTACCTGTGTCCAGAGTAAGAGAAGATGGCAGTCTCATCTCTGGAGAGAATCCCCCTTTCCTCTGCTGTTTTGTTCCATTTGGGACATCCATGGATTAGATGACGTCCACCCCCACTGACGAGGGGAGAGCATCTTTTACTCTGTCTGCTGATCTGAATGGTAGTCCCTCCTGGAAACACCCTCACAGACACCCAGAAATAAAAAATCACCAATTATCTGGGCATCCCTTAGCCCAATCAAGTTGACGTTTAATGTGAGTTATCAGAGCCAGTAAAGGTAACTGTTGTTAATAAATGACCCCTAAAACTCAGTGGCTTATATCAACCAAAAATTCTTGCTCAGGCTGGACATCCATCATGGATGGATTGTCTACATCCAAGTTGTCTTCTCTCCACAATTTAGAAGGGGGAAAGAGAAAAGCACTGGCGTAACCTACATATGCAATTTCTCTCCCTATTTTATTGGCATGGCAAGTCACATGCTACTCCTGAGTGTGGGGGAGTAGACTGCACCCCAGAGATGGAGCACAGATGGGATCCCACTACTTCTACAGAGTCCTTGGCAAACAGTAATACAATCGCCAAAGAAATCCCAGAAGTGCCTGTTGAGCACTGCTCCTGCATGGTGAGGAGCTGGAGGAGATAGATACATGGAGCTACCTGCAGAGCGCCTGATATTGAGCAGGAGGCAATTACGTATTCATTCATCTGCTCATACAGTGTAGAGGGGCGTGTTATCAGCTTTTCATCCCAAATCCTAGAAAGACGGTTTGATGTTCCACAAGTCTTGCTTAGCTGCGTACATACCACACCACGTACATACCATGTCACTCATAACTAAAGCAGTTAAATCACTAGGCCATTCAGCAAGACGGTACAGTTACCTAAGGTAACCTTCAGTTTGGATAATCAGACCATAGATACATCAAGGATCTTAAAGTGAACCTTTAGCATCTGCCTTTCCATTAGACTCCTTAATTATTTATGTCATGTTTTAGAGAAGCCAATAGAACTATCTCAGCGGATTGTTTAACTGCCTTTTCCCCATTAAATTGATCAGCTGTCAATTTGTTCTTTTAGTGTTTCACATACTCAATCTTTCTTTTAAATGGGAAGAAAGGCAATTCTAGGTGGATTGTGCCTCTTTTTGGAAAGTGTATCTATTCATGTTATAGACAGCATTTGGATCACAACAGTTTGCTGTTAGCTTTTTTCTTTGTTGTCTTAAGCTAATACAGTACTGATAACTTTTTGGTATGTGTTCAGTTTCGTGAATTTTAACTTTGATGTAGATTTGGGCAGCTGCCCCTACAATCATGATACAAGAGCTTTCTTGGCCTTGGTCTTATCGGAGCAGAGTAATAATTTTAAAATAAGATAAAATGCTAATGATGTCAGTTGAAAATAAATTGTGTGTACAACCACAACTTTCAGCCTTTTGGCATTAGCATGAAGTCGTGCGATGTGTGTTGATGTGCAGAAAGATTGGCTGATGCTGAGCTGGAGAGGTGTGGGGGAGGGGCGCCCGCGTGCCCAGGTCTGAGAAAGCTCATTAAAAGGGATGTTTTATCTCAACCTGCTTTACCGCATATCCTGAAGATGTGAACCCTTTACAGTTTAAAAGTGAATTTCCTATTACGATGAAGTTACAGGTCAACTGTAGATTAGACTGTTCACGCCTCCAATCCTGTCCATTCTGGAGGTAAGGACGGGAATTTCCCTTCTGAGGCTTTCTCCTCCCCTTTCTGATGCTTTTAGTGGTAATTTATTATTAAATCTCCGAGTGTAAATGCAGGTCCTGGTGATTCACTTAATGGCTGTTATAATGATATAATTAAGTGATGGATGAAATATGCCTCGGGTCCTGTTCTGTCTGGACTTGTGTGACTTTGCGGCTGTTGAAGGTGACTCTAGAAACAGGACCTCCGGAGAACACGGGTGCTGCCTTCTCCAGTGTTCCCTGGGCGTGTTGCAGGACTGGCTGGAAATCATGGTGCATGCTGCATGATGGTGTCATCTCGTCGCTCCTGCTGTAGCTCAAGGGTGCGTGCCAGCACTGAGAAGCAGACAGAGAAGTAAAGATAAGCAAGTTCTGCCCTGGGCGTGAAGGTGTGTGGTGCGACTGCGGCAGAGAGATGTGGAGACTGCGGTGAGCTAGGGCACGGAGCCGTGAGCTTCCAGCTGTCTGAACAAAAACAGATAGAAAACCAGTCACATGACATTTCCACAGCAGGAAGGGGCCTTGGAAACATGCTCAGCCGAGTCAGCCAGGCACCAGAGCACAAAGTCTGTATGCCGCTGCTCTGAGGCACCTTGAACGGTCTGCTTCAGAGGTAGCAGGTAGATGGGGGCTTGCCAGGGACGGGGTGCTGGGAGTGGGAGCGACAGTTAATGTGTATCGAGTTTCAGATTGGGAGGGTGAAAATGTTCTGCAGATGCTTAGAGGGTGATGGCTGTACGGGTTTTACTGTCCCTAATGTCACTGAACTGTTCACTTAAACATAGTTGAAATTTTAAGTGTTATATATATTTTGCCAAAACCAGGAATTTAAAAACCCACATAATATCATCTATATCTCATTCTTCTCATTTTAAAAGAACCGATTATTTTTTGGTTTGGTATTTGTTTTTGTGGGCACCAGTGAGCTAATGCCCTCAGCCCTTTTTCAATTTAACATGGTCTCACCAAATTGGTAAGTCTGGCCTTGAACTTGTGATCCTTCTGCCTTGGCCTCCCCAATTGCTGGGATTCCATGTGGGTGCCACCATGCCTGGCTTTTTTTTTTTTTTTTTTTTTTTCTTAAGGAAGTGTCTTAGATGACCTTAAACCAGTATAGAAGCACAGAGCTCAGCATTGTGAACTACAGGAGAGCAGGGCCTTCTCATGATAGTCGTCAGTGTGAGTGTAAAGGAATCTGACCAAGTATTACACGTTATACTTTCACGTCCTGAGGACTTTGGTAGCCAGTAGTGTAAATATTCAAAACCAGGTAAAATATGGTGATTAATTTGAACATACCCACATATAGGACAGTTCTTTAAAACAAGATTGTTTCCATTCAATTATTTACTTTCCCTCCTTAGTATATTAAGAGAACATAGCAGACATTGAGTTTGTGAAATGAGCCGGTCAGGTGGACGGCACCCCTGCCATGTTGATCAGGGAGGAGCCAGTTCTCCAGGCCCTGCCATCTGTGTCTTAGAAGCCTGGAGACATGGACCTCTGAATTATCAGTGGCCTTATGTTCCAATAGACGCTGTCTCCATGCTGCTCACTGTCAGAGCTCCGATGATGGGAGCACACGCAGGTGCACAGTCGTGCCACCACTACCTGCCCTCTGCCCAGGCGCTCAGCCAGCTCGGAGCAGAGTGCGTCCATGCTTCATCAGAGCTAGGTGCTCCCCAGCCTCGGGAGCCTGGACCCCACATTATCTCCATGGGGAAGTACGTTGGGATTCTGTATGTCAGTCTTCCTCCATAGGCACACCTGGATCACCATCATTTACTTGCACAATAGGCCAGTGGCTCTGTGAGGAGGGTATTATCAATACCTCCACTTCATAGATGAGGAAACCAAGGCACAGAGGCTACGGGCAAGTTTGTTTTATAAAGTGTTAAGATGTCGTCTCTCACTTCACCTCTGTCTAGTATGAGACAACCACATGTGGGTTGGCCTCTGGGCCTTCTGTTCTGTTCCACTGGTCCTCGTGTCTGTACCATGCGGTTCTTGTCACTCTAACTCTGTAGTATAACGTGAGGACTGCATTATGATGCCTCCTGCTTTGCTCTTCTTGCTGAGGGTTGTTGTGGCTATTTGGGGTCTTATTTTTCGAAATGAATTTTGAACTGTGTTTTTAGTTCTGTGAAGAATGTCATGGGTATCTATATTGGCAGAAAGCCTTTTAAAAAATATTTTGTAGTTGTAGATGGACGGCATGTCTTTGTTTATTTTTATGTGGTGTTAAGGATCGAACCCAATGCCTCACATGTGCAAGGCAAGTGCTCTACCACTGAGCTACTGCCCCAGCCCAGGAAAGCCTTTTCAATAAATGGTGCTGGGAAACCCAGAAATCCATATGTAGAAGAATGAAATTTGACCCCGTCTCTCACCCTGCACAAAAGTCAACTCAAAGTAGATAAAAGACCTGGGAATTAAACCAGAAACTCTGCAACTGATTGAAGAAAAATGTAGGAGTGCTACCTGCTCCTCAGACAGGGCGTTCATATCCAGGATATACGAAGAACTCAGAACTTAACACCAAAAACAAATCACCCAGTCTACAAATGGGCAAAAAAACTAAACAGACACTTCTCAAAAAAGAAATACAAATAGTCAACAAATATATGAAAAAACTGTTCACCATCTCTAGCAATTAGGGAAATGCAAATCAAAACTATATTGAAATTTCATCTCACCCCAGTCAGCATGGCAATTATTAAGAATACAAGTAATAATAATGTTGGGCAAAGATGTAGGGGAAACGGTCCATTCATACATTGTTGGTGGGACTGCAAATTAGTACAGCCATTCTGGAAAGCAGTATGGAGATTGCTCTAAAGACTAGGAATGGAACCACCATATGATCCATGTAGCTCACTCCTTGGTATATATCCAGAGGATTTAAATCAGCCTACTTCAGTGACGCCGCCACATCAATGTTTATAGCAGCTTAGTTCACAATAGCAAAGTTATGGAACCAACCTAGGTGCCCTTAAATGAATGGATAAAGAAAAAGTGATATTCTCTCTTTCTCTCTCTGTCCCCCTCCCCCCGCCTCACACACACACACACACACACACACACACACACAATGGAGTATTACTCAGCAAAGAAGAAGAATGATATTAAGTCAAAAGTTTTCTCTGATATGCAGAAGGTAATCCAAAATGGGGTGAGAGGAAAGGACAAAAAAGGGGAGGGGCAGAGAATTTCATCAAAATAGAGGAAAGATCAGTAGAACAGACCATGGAGATCGAGTGGGAAGAAGGAGGGATGGATTAGGGAAGAACAGGGGAATGAATCTCTCTGAACTTTTGTATGCACATGATGAATACACTGCGATGGATCCCAACATCAAATACATTCACCACACTAATAGAAAACAAAACCTAAATAAATCGCAGAAAGGTCAATGGAGTAGAGGGAGGGAGCAGGAAGAGGGGGAAGGGACAGGGGAGTGCTGGGGACTGAATCAGCACATTCTATTCCATGCTTTGTGAGTATGTAAAAATGCATCCTGATGTCATATATAACTAGAAAAAATCAATTAAAAGGGACAGCATGTCATTTGTCACCATAGTAGATACACTGAAAGGCCTCTAAAGCTGGTGCACCTGCCCCACCCTGTTAGAGCATAAGGTCTTTTTGCAGTTATTTTCCTTAAGCGTTTTGGGATCCTGTTCAGTGTGAACACCTGAGAAGCAGAGAGCACGTTTGGGCAGCGTGTTTTCTGTAGGGCACGTGGGACGAGGCCATTCTGCCAACAGTGCCTGTGCAGTCGGTGCTGAGCCAGAATGAACAGCTACCGAGTGCTCAGCCCAGAAATGGAAGTCTGTGAAGGTGAACCGCTGTTTGACCACTGGGTAGGGAGTCAGCTGCAATCCCAGTTTAGTAACGCAGAGATTCCTAGCACAGGAACCCCAGGATTTCTGTAGGAGAAACTGTAGATAAAGGATAGCTGTGAGTACTTCTATTTGGTAATCCAAACTCCTTAATGGAAAGAACTTTTCTAAAAACAACTGAGCTTCTGCTAAGAAGCCAACTGATTCAATTCCTCTGTCTCCTTGTACTTCAGTAGAAAAGCTGATGTTCCCAGTGAGCATAAAGAAGATAGGGACGCAGGGGGCCAGGTTGATTCTCATGCAGGGCTGACTGGTAACCAAGAGGTAACCATGAGAATTGGCCAGCTCTTGGCTCTAAGATCCTTCACAGTGTCGTCTTGAGGACCAAAGGCTATAACACATGTGCAAGTGTCATACTTTCAAAGCTGGGCACACACAGGTTATTAAAGAGCAGCTCGTCCCGACTCTGTGCATGGTCTGTCTCTCATGGGTGACCTGGCTGTGTGCGGTGGAGAAGGGCTCAGTTTGTCATTGCTTACGGCCTGTGCAAATGGTTACGTTACCCTGGCTTTACAAGTCTGCCACTCTTCTTTGTACCCACGTAGGATCCTCGGAGATTTTAAGACATTGAGTTTCCTAGTTTCATTCACTGTAATTTGTTCTCTTCAGTTTTGTGTCTGAGGTTCTTCTCTTTCCCTTCTCTCCAACTCTGCAACTTAAATGTAGGTACCCAGTGTCGAACCAGCTGATCTCATTGGTCACATACCTTTCCATAGTAGGTACCAAAATTATACATGATCGATCAGTAACCGAGTGCAGTAAGAAAAAAGAAATATTAAGTAATAATTTAACAATACTTTATAAATAATAAAGTGATGTTAACAACAACAAATGTGTTGCCCTAACCTAAATCTAGAAACTTCCTCCAATCAAATGCACAGGTCTCAACTGCTGCTCAAATCTTGCTGTTTTCCTTCTTACTTGATAAAGCAGAATAGGAAATTGGGAGGTGAAGGAGGAGTGATGTTTACCTTGAAGTACTTCAAAATGCTTTTGTTCTTTAGGCATCTTTTGATTTTATGTCCTTTTTTTTTTTGGTTACCTAAGAGGGACAGTGAACGCGAGGAGTGAACCTGAGAAGGGATTCTTCTGTGGGCTCCTGGAAGGGATACTAACTCGCCACATGTCATCGTAGAAATCGCCAGCCGAGGCTCCCTTGGAGAGCGCTGAAGCCCATTTTCAGCTGTTTTGTGCTCGCACCAGGTGCTGATCTCGGGGAAATCACCCTGATTTGCTGCAGGGATTAATGTCTCCTCCTTCCGTTTCTTTAAGGAAATGGCGAAGACCCTTAACCATCCCCGAGTCTACTCCTTCCTGCACATACCCGTCCAGTCCGCCTCCGACAGCGTGCTCATGGCCATGAAAAGAGAATACTGCGTGGCTGACTTCCGAAGAGTCGTGGATTTCCTGAAGGAGAAGTAAGTCTGCTGGCACTTGTGAAAGTCACCATTTCTCTTCGTTCAGAAGTGGGTGGGGACGAGTAACTTAGCGCAGCTCACGGGGAAAGGTGCCAGGGAGAAGGTGGGTCTCGAGGCTTGTAGGCCCTCCTTCCCTTGGGCACTTTCGCTGTGGGTTCTCCTGTCCCCGCAGTTTGTGCCCCTGCCACCTGTGCAGGTCGCCCTATGTGTTGTCTAGTCTCTAAGGAAGTGTGAGCCGTGGTTATTTTCATACCTCACCTGGTGGATGAAACCTGTGTTGGCTTTGCTCTGCTTTAAGTCTCCTGAGAGCTTTCTGAAGTCATGAGTGGGTTTTGAGATGGACATAGGGACCAAGTCGTGGCACTAAAAAATGGGTGATTTTCTACTGACTTGCATTTTTTGAGGAGTGCTGGAGCGTCGTTGCTTTTACCCACTGATCCCAGTTAGTTACTTGTGATGTCAAGGAGGCGGGAGGATTCTGGTGTTCAAATTCCTACTGACCAAAGTTAAGGCATGTTTTCATAGTCCCAGATGTGAATGGTAGTTTAGTTTCCGTAAAGAACACTTGCAGCCCGTAATTATGTTCTTCAGAATCCTGCTCAAACGGGGAAGGGTCTGAGATTAGGCCAGGCAGGGAGCAGAGGTGCCCGCCAAGGCCCCGAGACCGTCCCAAGCCCAGGCCACGGTTCACCCTCAGGGAACTTGTCTTTCATCTTGGTGTATTTTGGGGTCTCCTCACTTTCCATAGATTTTTCCACTGTTGTTTTTCTTGATTAAGATACAACTTTTTATTTCCATCTTCTTGTTTATAATTGCATACCTTTGTACCATGTCGAAGGACTACATAGATATGGTTGCTCTGTACTGATGGTAAGCAATTACTTTTTCCACCTATAATTAGTCATTCATCCGCATAAAATTGTTTTAAGATATTTTTCTTCTTCTTTTTACTCTTTTCTCATCTTTCCTTTATGTGTCTCTTAATTTTTTTTCCACCTCTAGACTTTTTTTGATTATCCTAACCCTAGAAATAGGCACTTGGTGGGCATCCACACAAATGCAGCCAATCATTCAAATATTCAATGTAGTGGAAAGAAAGCATATTTATTCCAAGATACCATGATTATAGTCCGTATATATATACAGCTTCAAAACAGCAGAATAGCAACGCTCTCTACCGTGTCTAATACTCTTGGATCTCTAACAGAACTGGTCAAGGCTAAAGAACACACATTTTTATATTAAACATCTCTTGTTGGTCTATGGCCTGACCTTGATGTTATTCAAGCTTTTGTAGGTAACTTGTCTCAGGAGAGTCGTTGAAGGCACGCTGGCACTGGTGAATGGAATGTGTTCAGAATTGGAAAAAAAAAAAAAATTGTTACACCTGTGAGATTCCTTCTCTTGCTTATTGAAACAGCAGCCGATAACGCACACACTTCGCACATCTTGCACAAGGCTTTGCCAAGCACAGACATGCAGCCCTGGTGAGGAACAGACCCGGAGGCTTCCCAGATCGGCTGTTGCATTGTGCGGTGGAGTGAGCTGAAGGAATCATCACTGCTCTGGCCTTCCTTTGGGCGAGCGCTGACTCAGTTTGTGGAATTACTGTGGCTATTTACCTAGACAGCATTTGCCAACAAGTTCAGTCCTTTCAATTGCTCTGTAGATGGACATGTTGAATCTGCTGCATCTTGAACAGTCTGAGCAGCCTCCTTGAGCTTTGTGGAGGTCAGAGAGGATGAGCACATCGAGGCGTTAGAAAATGATTTCTTGCCATCGTTCATTGACTACATTCAGTTCAGGGTCTTTTCTTTGGACTTTCAACTATCTGAGTAGCTTTTCTAGAAGTATGTGACTAACTAGAGATCCTAGAACAAAGTTCTCTGCCCAGTGATCTCCAGAGCAGAGAAGTTTGAGAGGATGATGGACACGCCTGGAGAAGACCTTGCCTCCTCCCATACAGCCCAGCCTTCATTTCAGTTTTAAGTGCTATTAATTCCTGGAATATAGATAAACCTCCAGTCAGTCAGGGTTTTAACAGATGAAAATTAACTCTGTATTGTGTATGTGCAAGCACAGAATCAATCCTGCTGGATAAATTCACATTTAGATAGTAACTAATATATATTGGAAAACTAGAGTAAGCAGCCAATATGATATACTTACTTTGTATAGCAGATAACTGAGAAAATTTGAGGTTCTCTACTTGGAAAAAGTCCAATTATTGCTGTTAATGTAACGAAGTGATCATTGCATAGCTTTAGGCAGCTCATTGGAACCCTAAAATTGTCTGTTTCCTCCAGTCCATTTTGTTGCTTATGGGAGTAGTACAGCCCTTTCCCATGGGGTGGTATGTTCCAGCTTCTCTCTTCAGTGGGAGGAAGTTTCCTGTCCTCTTGGGAGGACACTGATCCAGTGAGTAACTTTCCATTATGGTGGATGTTTAGGCAGAGGTGAAGTATATGAAGCAGACTTCTGATCTTTATTTTCTTACTTTAGACTAGTGCAGCTTTGTGACAGATTAGTGCTTGTTTTGTAAACACCACGGTTTCAGGGCTTCTGTGGAGGCACCAGTCAGGATGTGCCCCGTGTGTTCATCCTAAGAAGGTGTGACCTGTCAGTATGCCCAGCACTCGTTCATAACACACCCCGACTTAAAATGGCAGGTTTGCTCCTTTCTTATCTGTTTGCTCTATGAATCCTGTATAAATGTGGCCCTTTTCATTTCCTTCTCTTTTCCCCTAAAGTCTTTGAACCTTTTTTAGGTTTTTGTAATGAAATTTTCACTAATAAGCGGAGCTTCTGCCTTTCTCTCCTTCCTCAAGAGGCTTCTCAGCTCTTCACGTCGGGAATGAAGGAGGAGGCATTTCCTAGACTGTTTCCACAAAAAGCCCATCTTCAGAAGAACCTGTAGGATTTAAGGCAAAAATCCAAACTAGGAATTTACCTGAAGCTATAGACTCTTAAGCTCTCCATCCGTTGGTGTTTGTGGAGCCCTGTGTCTCAAACAGTAGAGGTGAAGTCTTTTGAATTAATGTTCCTTATGTTGCACATGGCCCCCTTTCAGCTGGGAGCCATGGAAGCTGACATTTGAGCCAACTTGAAGCCTAGTCATTATTCTCTGCAGTTGTTCGAACGTTGGCAGCCGTCCTCCCCACAGCAGCTGGATTGAAGATAACCTGGTGGTGTTGGCACATGTCGAGGCATATGGGGATTTATTAAATCATGCAACCTTTGTGAAAAAAGGGTGTCTAAATTACTTAATATACTAATTTAAAACAGCTGGTCTTGAGCAGACACTCATGACTTAAATGATTCTTTTCAGTTTTATTAATCCAGTTGAACATTAAGTAATTAGATGTTTTTATTTAAATGAATAAGATGATTTCTTGAAGTACATAATGGGATTTACAGGGTCTTGGAAGAAAACTACTTAGAACAAAGTAAGAGGTGCAGTTCTGATTCAAAAAAAATGTTTCATGTTTTTTAATAAGTACCTCATCAATTTTACTACATTCATAAATTGTCACAACTGGTTTCACTGTTCTCCTTTTAATGTTACTGGGATTTTTTTTTTCAAGTGTAAAATTTGGACGGTGATTTTGAGATACTTACTTCCCAGTTCTGGGATTCTTAGAGTGCATTATGTGAAGTATGATATGATTAGGGTTCTCAGGCCGCGTGGCCTTGGACATGGGCTGTAACTGGGGACCCCTCATTTGCAAGGCAGTGATTGCACAAAAACCCTCACCAGCATAAGCCACATAGTAGCATTCGGTCAGGAATCAACACCGTGCAGAGCGCTTCTCTCAAGCATATGTTCGAAAGCTAAGTAAAGGAATCTGAAACCTCAAATTCACACATAAAAGTGTGAAAAAATTATGAAAGACATCCTATTGATTTATATGTTTTAAGAAGTGAATCAGATTATGTATCCAGTGTCTTTTTGGTTTATGTTATTTAGACCCTAACAGTCAACATCTCTGTCCTCCTCGGGCTTGGAGACATTTTGGGTGATTAGTGAGCAGTAGCAGGTTGCATCTTATTATAGCGCTTGTGTTGACTTTTTATCCCATGACATTGTTAATGTCAGAATTCGCCATGATCACTTGTCAAAGTCCTGTGCACCTCTGAGTTTATTTGTAAAACATTAACCCTTTTTAGTGTGTGACATTGGTTCTCATCCCTCTAAGTTTACAGAGACTGCCCAGGGAATTGCCACAGCTAACAACTGGTGAGCACCTGGGGAGGAAGAGAAGGGGTGGACCCACGAGGTGGCTTTCCCCTGACAGCTGGTCATCCTCTGACCCCTCCGCCTGGCACTCATGCACAGAAGTGGCACAAGGGCATGAAGCCGGTCTCAGGCTGGCAGGAGATCTCAGAGTCACAGTGGTGACTCACATGGCCTATCCTATCCGGTGACCTACTTTTCCAGTCTGTCTGCAAATAATAATGCTAATTCATTAACATCCCAAGTCATTTTCCTTTCCTGTCGTTAGTCTGGGCTGCCCCGTGCTCTTACGGGAACAGATCTGATGAAAGTTGTTAAATTTGTATTTTATTCCATCTTGTCCATCTAGTTTCATTCCTAGTGGCTTAGAAACTGAAGTAGCAATTTTTATCAGAACAGGAGAAAAGATCTTGAAAAAATAAAAAAGAAGGATTCAGCAAGGATTAGGCAAGTAAGCTTGCTTCCAGCTGTACCCTGGGTGGGTTGCTGCTCCCGGAGGGGGCACCTCCAGATGGACTTGGGCAGAGCAGCCCCTCACAGCTGTTTCCTGGGGGCCTTCATCGTCTCTGATAGCCAGGTGGTTGAGGTGTCCCAGAGGTATGGGGCACTATCGTATCTGTTGTCAAATTTCTTCTGAAGGAGAGAACTTCTTTTCCCTTTCCTATATTGCTACACCCTGAGTTTCTCAAGAGGATGACGGCAGCATGGGAACAGTTATCTAATAGGGAAACACATGCACTTTCTTTTCAACTCAGCACTGTGTATG